TTTCTAATTTCAATGTTAAGTGTTACTATATTCTTGCCCATGTTTTGCATTTTTCTTTTTGTCGGTCGGTTTAAATATGAAATCAACTTATTCAAGACTTTGTGTTTAGTTGCCAAAGTTATTTGATAATAATAATATTATTATTATTATTATGGAGTTTCGTGTTTATTTTAAACATACAAAAAGAACGAGAAAGATTGAAAAAGAAAAAAAAGGAACAAGTGTGCTCTTTCATTTGTTCCTGAAATTTATAAATAACTATTTAAAGTATATTTGTTTTCTTTAAATATTCATAAGATCAATACAATACAAAGGTAACTTTAGGGTTAGAAGGTGTACTTGCGCGCACTCAACACAGATTCAAACATGAAATAAGAAAACTTGATTTTCCCTAAAATCATATAGATTGTATTTTCTACATAAAAAAAATTTAAGAGATTTAGTTAAACTTACTTAATAAAATACGTTATATATATAAAAAGTAATATTATTCTTTTTAAAAAATTATAACAAATATTTTTTCATCTATTTTTCTTTTTTATTAATTTTTTATCATTGAAACCTCTTACTAATTAATTCTCACCTTTGAAAATTCTGTTATAAACAAATATTATTATTTTCACTGAATTTTTATTTTTTTTATGTTTAGATAAAGTGTAAGATCTCCTAGTAAGACAAAAACGAAAGGTAAAAAAATAAAAATAGAAAAGCAATTTATGCTATTCATTCCTTCCACGATTTGCTTAAAACAGAATAGGGACTCAACCTACCTATACTTACATCTTCCAAACACCATTGTGTGGTCATTCTGAAACACTGACAGCTTACCCACAACGTTGTATCATAATTTCTTTTCCTAAAAAAACACGATATTCCTTCTGATTAACTTATCCTCATATTCAAATCTCATCGTCAAGTACCTACATGCATTGAATTTTTAAAAAGACAAAACAAAGAAGTTTGTAGTGTACTTTGGTGTAAAATCAAACTTTGTCAAACCAGAGGATAAGGAGATTTAGTTTTGTTTGGGTGAGTAGAAAGAAAATAATAAATAAATAATATTATTTTTTATTTTATTGAAGAGAAATAGAAACAAAATAAAAATTAAATTTTAAAAATAAAAAGATTCATTTTTATTTTTATTTTTATTTTATAGTTTACTTTTTTTCTCTCGATATATTTTCATTGAACTAAACATAAGAAATAGCCAAAATAAGATCAATCTTAAAGCCTTAAGTCTAAATTTAAACACTTAAAGATCAATCTTTTTTTATTAAAAGAATAAAATATTTATTACATATTTATATCTTGAATATAATAATTTTTAATAAAAAATTATTAATTTTAAATGTTTAAACTAATCAAAACTTTAAAAAAATAGTGTTTGTATTATCAACAAAAATATTTAAAAACATTTTGTAATATTTGATTTTTTTTTAAATGTATGTCCCCAAAGGACCAAAAGTTTATGACTATTTATATTTAATATAGAGCATTGTCCCCTTTCCCCTCCCAAACATCCGTGTACTGCTCTTTTACCATTAACAGTTTATATTTCATATTATATAAAACCCAGTTAAAAAAAGAAATTTTATTAACTAATTTTTTTATTGAGTAACATTACAAGGGTAAAATGTTGTTATAGTAAATTTTTATTAAAAATTATATAATTCAATACATTGATATTATAAAATTAAATTCTATAATTTAAAAAAAAATTACTATTATATATTACAAACAGATAAAGAAAACCAATTAAAAAAAAATACAAAGTGAAGAATTAAGGAAGCAAGTTATTTGAAGTAAAAGCTTTTGCATTTTTTTCTTTTACTTTCTACACTAATGTATTTTCCTTTTCGTAAGTCTTAAAATAATACTTTTCTTCCTTTCTTTAAAGGCATCAAAGAAATCTGATATGTTGACTTGTATATGATATTTTATTAAATTACAGAATTATTAATTGTAAAATGTAGTATTATTAATTTTGCTTAAATTCAGAGACTATTTCCTTTTTGGGTATAAAGATAACTTCAGAAAGTCATATACCTTAGCATCTAATAAATGTGCTTGAATTTTGAATTCTCTTGTTGCTTGGGAACCAATCAATTTAAAACTGATAAGTAAGTTAAAACTTGAAAAATTAGTTAAAAATTTAGAAATAAAAGTTACTTAATTTATTGAATTGAAAGTATTTAATATAATTAATTACTGATAAATATAAAATGATACATAAGGATATAATTGATTACTATATCAAAACTTAAAATAACTATATATTTTAAAATAATTATAAAATTTTCTATTTTAAATTATCATCTTAATATTTATTCTATTACTTTAAAAAGTAGCATTTAGGTTGAGAATATACAAAATATTTTATAGTCGCTTCATTTAATATATTATAAGTATTTTCAAATATATAAGATAGAAGTAACCCAAAAAAAATATAAGATAGAATAATTTATAATAATTTTAAAAATAGGTTTTTATTATGTGTTGTTCGACGTCGACGTACGTTAAAAAATTGTTATTAGATTTACCTTACAGTCTCCTTTTATGACGTTTTATCTCTTTTATTACTTAATCACTCATTTATTTTAATTTAATATTATAATTAATAAAATATATTTAATGGTTTTTTGACCTTTCAAAAGTGACATAAATAAAAATATTTTTTTAGAAATGTAACAAATAGAAAAGTAATATTTATAAATAAAATAATATAAAATAAACTTATAAAATATTTTAAAACTGCAAAAAGAATTTTAAATTTTATTTAATAAATAAAATATTAATAAGAAAATGTTCAAGAATGGTTTTAAATTATTTTGGTTCATGAACCAACTTGGACAAAGCAATAACTTGTGAACTAAAATCATAAGTGTAACCCATTCATTGAAAAATAAGCATTTTCAAAAAGTTTTCTTTTAAATATAATTATCTTCAAAGGAAAATATTTATGATACAGAAAAAGAAAAAAAAATTTCTCTTTCCTTTTTCTCATGCATCTCAGATACTTAGGTCCTTAAATAAGTACTATTTTTTTATATGTAATATAGTTATTAAATTTTTTTATTTTAATTATAAGAAATAGAGACTTTATTTTAGATACATTAATTATTGTTTATTTTGGTTGTTTTTATAAGAACATTTTAACTAAATCACATAGATTAAGAAATATAATATCTATTACACTTTTATATTTTCAAGATAATAAATATTTTTTAAATAAATATTTGTTACTTTTAATTACTTATTGTTAATCTTAAAAACTTATGTTAATATTTTTTATGCTAATTATTAAAAAATTAAAAATATATTAATAAAGACAAATATTGGAATAAATAAATAATATTTCTATAATTTTATAAAAGGTTAAGTATTAAAGATAAATAAAAATTTCTATTTTTTTTATAAAAATAACAAAAAAAAAATTATTTTGCGATTTTTCTAACATACTGCTAAGGGCACAAAATTAATATGTATATATATATATATATATATATATATATTAATACTATTAAATGATTTAATTTTTGATAAAATTTTATTATTTATTATTTTCCTTTTGGATACATGTTACTAAAATTGGTTTTCTTATCTTAATATTTATTTATTTATTTATAAACTTAAAAAATGTGTTAACAAGATACTTGCCTCTAATATATATAAATAGATATATTCATTTATTTAATATATAAATTATTAAATTAACCATTTAATATTATAATATAAATCTATATCATATAATTATTTTTATATTAATTTGATTAAATTAATTAATTAATTAATTTTATAATAAACAAATATAATACTATAATTAATCTCCGAAGATATGGAGGAATTTCAGTCAAAATACACATATGTAATGGATAATAAATAAGCCCCTCGAGTCAATCCAAAACCCCCTTCCTTACCTTGCCCAAAATAACCTAAATAACTTGCAATTACTAACCCACCACCGCTTTCCAATCAAAGACCACAACACACCCCTTCTTGACTTTGAAACCCCCACCCCCTATTTATTCCTCAACAACCTCTTTCATTAGAATAATCACACACTTATTTCTTGCCCCTCTCCCATTAATTCACTGCTAGCAAATGCAAAGCCTTCAACAAAAATCTCCTTTCTCTCTCTCTCCTTTCCCTTCTCTTCTTGCCTAGAAATCTCGAGATAGAAACTGATCATGTGTACAACCCACCCTGCCCCTCCTTGTTACTGTTAAAAGCCCTAGCATTAAGAGCTTTTCCTTTCTACTTCAAACACCCTCCAAGGCACATATACACAAGTATCATTTTCTTCAAGGTTATTGATGCAAAAGTAAGTATAAGCAAAATCTAGCTATAGCCCAAAGGCTTATGACCGACATGGTGCTTTTCTTAATTATCATACATATATTCATTTTCTTTTTATTTTATTTTTCTTTCCTTTCAATTTATACATATCGATTTCTGCTTTGTGCCTCCTCCATTTTTTTACATGTTTCATTATGGGTTTTTCTCTTTTATTTTATTATTTTTGAAAAATAGTATACCAAAAATTTACGTTTATTTAATATGTTTGACTAGAAAAATTATTATTTTTTCATTATTACTATTCTTATTTTGTAACGGACAGTGAAGAATATATATAATAAGAAGTTATGTACAGTAAATTTTATTAAAAATATCATAAAATTAAGATTTTAATAATATTATTATAAATTTTAATAAAAAATATTATTTTTATTATCATATACTATTAAGTATACTTAAAAATTATTATTATTGGAATAGAATGGTGACAGACACAACTACTCATATAGGTAGGTGAAGAGGCTATATAAGAGGAGATATGTTACATAGTTGGCATAGTGGATTCAGATCAGACCAAAAAGCAAGATCAACGAAAGTGCTGCTTCTCTGATCGTTTTCTCTTTTGGTTGGCTGTTTTTGATATACAGCTTCCAGTTCAGTAATTCTGCGACCACTTTTACACAGTTTCTCCCATCATCCTCATCATGGCTTCTTCCAACAGACACTGGCCAAGCATGTTCAAGTCCAAGCCCTGCAACCCTCATCACCAATGGCAGCATGACATCAACTCCTCTCTCATGTCAAGAACCCCTTTTTCTTCAGGTTCATATTGATTAAAATGAATACCAATTTTCATACTCTAATTTTAAGATTTTCACATGATTTTATATCTTATTTTTCTCATTATTCATCATTGTTTGCACTAGCTTTTCTTTCTCTTTCCCCTTTTTTGTTTAACACTCTTTGCTAGCATGTAAAAATATCTAAACTCTAAATTTTATTATTAACGGTCCATACACTCACTTTTTTAACGAGACAAAGGCAGAGAAGGTTGAACTTCTCAATTTTTTACCATAAAAAGGTCGGTGTAGGAGTAGTGAAAAAAGTGAAGTGTGGAAAAATAAATGTCCTAAATAAATCTACATAAATGAAACTGAATCAGTTACCATGTATGATAAAAGGATAACATTGCTTCAATACCCTTTTCAGCTTTGACTCCCAAACGTCAGTTACCTAGGTCATGTTAATTAGTATATCCTTAAAGTATGGATTAAGGAATTAATATATATATATATATATATATATATATAAATTTTTATGAAAATATACTAGATATAAAATTATATTATATATAATATTGCTCAGTTTTAACAAACAATTAAAAAATATTAAAATGTGTAAATGATTTCTTAATGAAAATATTTTAATCGTTTAAAATACGTATTAACATTTGCCAATAAATATTTAGACTCCATATATTAAGCGACATGTCAATTATATTTTGCTAATTTCATATTTTTGTCTATGGGTAGTTCTATACATATAATTGATTGACATTTGAAATTTACTCATAAAATATAGGTAATATAACATTGTTTTGTCCTTTGTTGCTGCAGGAGATGATGAGAGGAGTCCAGAGCCAAAACCGAGATGGAACCCAAAGCCTGAGCAAATACGCATACTGGAAGCCATTTTCAACTCTGGGATGGTGAATCCTCCAAGGGAGGAGATAAGGAAGATCCGGTTACAGTTGCAAGAGTATGGGCAAGTGGGTGATGCCAATGTCTTCTACTGGTTCCAGAACCGTAAATCAAGAAGCAAGCACAAGCTCCGCCACCTCCAAAACTCGAAGAACCCAAACTTAGAAGCACAGCAAAACGCTGCTTCTCTCCCTCAAATCACAGCTCCTTCATCCTCTTCTTCTTCCTCTGAGAAGTCCTCTTCCAAAGAAATGATATACCCTACCAAGGGTTTCTCCATTGGCTTCTCAAATGTCAATGATGTGGTGCCTAATTCACCCACCGCCTCTGTGAACCAGAATTATATTCAGTCTCACCTTCACAATGACACCAATTTGCTACCACCAACACCTGAGCCTTTTTCTTTCCCTCTGCACCATAATGGTCAAGGAGCAATGCTTAATGCCATGGCAACTACTCAAGGATTTTGCTTTTCTGAGTTCAACAGCATGATTCAACCTCAATATCAACAAAATTTTGGGCCTTGCACTAGTCTTTTGCTTAATGAGATGGTGAACCATGGAAACACCTCAAAGAAAGACCATGATCAAGACAAGGCCATGAAGATAATGCACCAACACCCACAGCTTGGTTTTTGTCTCACTTCAGCTCCAACTACCAGCGATGTTCCTCCCATCAGCAACATACCCATCAATGCTATTCCATCTCCCATCACTCAACTTCAGGGTAATATATGTTTGGAATGTGAAATAATAGTTCTTTTTTATTAAAATAATCATCTACACAAAATAAACCTAATTAAATGGGCAACAATTTTTTTTTAAATTATGTATATGTAAACAAAATCAAAAAGGAAATTTGTGCTATGAATTTAGTTGTATGTGATAAGCTATAGAAATTTCAGTAGTAGCATGTCATATTTCATCAACTATATTTATGTAAGAAAAATGTTTTTAAATCTTTTAATGGGTATAAAAACTTTTAGAGAGAAAAAAATAATAAATCTAATAAATTATTATTATTTATAAAAAAATAAAAAGCCTGAAATTGTCACCGTATTTCTATATCAAATTTGTTAGTGTAATGATTTGACTTAGATACAGGTAATAATGTAATTAGATGGTTTTTATTTGCACTATCTGTGTCATGGACGTGTGCATGGCTTCACTTGCTTTAGCTAACAGCTATAGTGATAAGTGATGTTTTTCGACTTGCACATGAGAGATGATTTGGTGTGTGTCAGGTACAGGTAGGTCAAAATGTACAGTGTTCATTAACGATATTGCATTTGAGGTTGAGGTGGGACCCTTCAATGTGCGTCAAGCCTTTGGGGAAGAAGCTGTGCTAATCCATTCTTCTGGCCAACCCGTTCTCACTGACGATTGGGGCGTTACCCTCCAATCACTCCAACATGGAGCATACTATTATCTGGTTTGCATGCTTTTATTAACAAACCGTTATCCTTCTTTTGTTTTAATTTTTTTTTTTTTAGGATTTTATTATATTTATGTAATAGTTTATACAATATTTTTGTTATTTTTATTCATTATTTATTTTATCTCATATTTTTATCTAATTAAAATTAAATAAAAATGTAGGGTGCTTAAAAATTTTCAGTGATGATATGAAATTTTATTAATTTTTTATATGAGAGATTTTATTCAGAGTTATTTAATTCTTTTTTTTTAATTCTTTTTCAGATATAAGGAAGCAAAAAGTTGGAGGAGGAACCTATATTCATATATGTATTTTCTATATTATCTTTTGCTATCTTCTATATCTATATAGAAATCGTGTTATTGTGGACTAGCTTATGTAAACTTTTTTCCCTTTTCTTTAGTTAATTTAAAATGATTATATTTTAGTTCATGTGAAACCGATAGTGCATTCATCGTGGGATATGCTTTCATTACTGGCATCGTGAAATAAATTATGATCAGTGAATTTTTAAATCAATGCAATATTATGCATAATAAAATATTACATATATATATATATATATATATATATATATTAAAAATATATCATTTAATATACTGATAGTTTTAGATATTAAATTTTAATAAAAATTTATTAATTAATTTTTTACTATGCACAATATTGTACGAGTTAAAATAATTGTTAATTTATTAATATAGTAAGATTTTATTAAAATTGTATAATTTAATATATTAATACTATTAAATATTATATTTTTTATTAAAAATTTATTATTTATTAATTTTTTTTAAGAACTTTATTACACAAGTTAAAAAAATTATTAGCCTTTTTAATACAATAAATTTATTATTAATAATAATGAAAACACTATAATCTTGAAATTTTATTTAAATAAAAATAATCAAGAAAATAAATTGAAAATAACATTTCAATTGTTCAATGTCACAGTGAGCGAGTACAGGAGACTAAAATGTTTACTGACTCAATCTATGTTCTCCTAGTTAAAAAATAAAAGAGTTTGAATTAAAGAAAAACTTTTATATTAAGTTAATTTTTTTTAATCTAACAATTTTATTATATATTTTTAAGAATAAAGTTATTAATTTTTTTATTTTTTAAAATTAATTTTTTCTTCCTTCCTTTTTATAAATTAAAATCTTTTTTTTTTTACAACGGAGCAAAAAGTCCAAACAAAGATTACTTAGATAATATAAAAAACCAAATTTTCCTATCATCCTCTCTCTAAGGATGTGAACAATTTGTGAGAGAGAATTTTAAAATGAGATCGTCTTTAGACTTATTAAAAACCTACTTTGCGAGTCAATTACAACCTAAATCCTAAAGACTAACAATTCTAATAGAATTTACAAGCAAATTAATTTTTCTAATGAAAATATATAACCTGTTATTTATGGATACACCAATATTTATTAAGAGATTTAAAATTCATTTCAACTAAAATTATTTTTAAATTGAGGTTTTTAATTAACTTAAATACTTAAAAAAAACATAACTTTAAAGCAACGATAGAACAAGAACCTAACTTTTTAAAAAATTAAGTACAATTTTTTTAAATCTTTTCTGACAAGACTTTCATGAACAACCAATTCTTAATTTTTATGAACAGAATAATTCATATTAAGCTTGAATTTATAGAAAGAAAAAGGAGAATGACCAACAAGAATATCTTGTGTGTAAGTCTTGAAAAAAGGAAAAGTAAAATTAGATATTGTATTAAAAGTATAACTCTTAAGCTGAATAAAATCTCTTTTAAATTTTTTTTCTTTTAATTAAAAACAGATAGGACTATGAAATAAATGAATATTACCGTTTCCTTAAGGAAAGAAAAACGTTGATTAAACTCGTGATATCCATTAATACATAAATAAAATATCCATCAATACATAAATAAAAATATTTTAATCTTTAATAAAATCTGACTACTTATTGTACATTGCGACTCATCTAAGTCTATACCAAATTCAATCACAATTTTTCAGTCGGAGTCATCGTGGCAGCTAAAGAATAAGCATGAAATAATGGTAACTTAAAATATAAACAAGTGCAGCCCAAAATATGGCAGAAAATGAGAGGATCATGACCTCACTTAAACTGCAATGCTAATTTCCAATAACATATTTACATTTATATGTGCATTGAATGCACCCATGTACTTCAATTTTAGATTAACAATACGTATTTTTAATTATATATATTAAATTATATTAAAATATATAATTTTAATATAAAATTATTATATATGATATAATAAATTTATTTTGGCATTACATTTATTAACTTTTTGGTTTTTGAAATTGTTAGTTGATGATATATATATATATATATATATATATATAAAGAATATATAATTAAAATGTACTTGTAATTTTTTAAAAAAAATCTAAATTTTAATATATTAATAATCTTATATAGTATTAATATGTTTTACATCAGTTATTAATAAACTTAAAATACTTTTTATAAAGTTTAAATAAACCATTTTTATAACTAGTTTTTAAAATAAATTATATATATATATATATATTTAATATACAGTATATTTTTTAATTTATTTATATATCTTTTAATGCATCTTAAGAAATTAATATGTTTTATTTAATAAGGATTCAATTCACAGGTTAAGGGATGCAGTAGGAGAAAAGAACAACTCCAGGAAACAGTGTCTTGTTTACTGGCATACAAAGGGCCTAGCCTGAATGGGAATGATACTAAATATTTTTACATAAAATGCCAGCTTTGTCTTAACCTGGGATGGAGACAAGAGAATAGGACTATAGGAAAGTAGTTGTGGACTAGATAGAAGTTACAGGCACAGTTCCAAATTGGTTTACTTGTAGTTTGATGAGAACAGTGTTTGCTCTCATTTCGATTTGACTTACCGATTTGGATATATCAGAGAGACTTCTCTGTCATTTGAAATTCCTCACTCACTCTTTTTATGTTATGTCACACCCAGACATTCATTTTCATCTGCATAAACCAACTTCTATACATACTATGATCACAAAATACAATCATGACCACTAAGACTTGTGATTACTTTCTCACTTCGAAACAAACCTGTATATTATAATGTGAATGGTATTATTATCTTTCTCGGTTTTGTTCTATACACTGCTTTTTTATTTCAGTTTTATTAAGAATGTTTATAATAATTAGAATGGTATTATTATCTTCCTATTGCATGCAATTATTTTTATTAAACTAATTTTGTTTAAATTTATGTTAATTTTTGTCTATTGATTTTACATATCATGCATGGATGGAAAGCTGGTTAGTGGGCTTGAGAGAATAAGAAGCATGTGTATATCAGAAGTTTTGGTCCCTAAGGCTTATCAAATTAATGGATGTGACCTTTGGTTTGGTTTGCAAGGTACTAACACCGTGTTGAGATCACATAATTTTCTATTTTTTCTTATTTATTAATTTAATTTGTTTAACAACATTTAATCATGGAAATAACAAAATTAAGGGCTGAAAGTTTGAATCTAGTTGTGCGTCTTGAATTTTTCATTTTATGTTTGATATATTTTTAAATTTGAACTTAATAAGACAGTAGATTAAATAATGATATTTTTGTATCAAAAAATTAATGATATAATTGATTTTTTTTTTAAAATAATAGGAATAAACGAAACATAATAACTCATTGTATTCCATTCTGTCCATGTCCAAAACACTATTTAATTTACATTTTTTAAACAGTCTGTATTTTAAAAAGCAATTAAATATATTGTAAATGATAATTATTAAAAAAATATATATAAAATTTTTCTCACATATATCTATATCTTTTTATTTGTGTATTAATTATTTTAAGTAATAACTATTATTATAAATTTTATATAAACTTAATATACATGAATTTGTAAATTAGCAGCGTAATTGTTTTAAAATTTCAACACAGAAAAGTAAATATTTTTTATACCATAATATTTTTTATAGTATACAATTCTTCTTAAATTAAAGAATTACGGTAAATAATAAAGATCACACTATAAATATTTGCTCAGAAAAAGAGTAAATATTATAATAATAAACAACTTATTATAACATATGGAATGTTAGTGGTTATGTGTAAATTTTTTTTAGAAGAAAATGTCATTTTAGTTTCTTAAAAATAGAGTGGATCAAATTGTCAAATTATGCCAAAGAAACTAATTTGTGAATTAAATTAATTATTAAGTCTCCTTTTTGAATGCTAAAAAAAAAGTGACATGTTAAATGTCATGGTTGTTCACCAAACATGAAAATTCAAGTGTTATCTTAGTCCCGAGAGAGATTAGTCAATTTAATTACCTTTTTAAAAAAATAAAAATAATAAAATTTTGTCAATAAGAAAAAGAGAAAAGAATTTTTTTACATGGTCGTGTTACCCCAAATTTCAATCATGATATTGTGTTTCTTTCTATCTCTATCAATTTTCTTTAAGATAAAACACTCACGTCATTTATTTATCCTAAAAACATGACAACTTAAATTAGCCTTTGAACCAAATAGTTAATAACTATTTTTTTTAAACCTTTAAAATCACCGTGAACATTAAGACTAGATAAACAATATCTAAAATACGATGGATATGGGTTAACGCTAAGGAATTATCTTAATTGAAAGTAATTTGGAAAGAAACTTATATATTATTGAATTAGAAATAACTTGGTTACATATAGGAACACTGAAAAATAAACTACTTACTGCTAATGTTACAAATTAAAAGATAAGAATAATAACAGTCCTATAAAAACAAGGATTTATTTAACTGACTAAACAAATTTAATTTTAACAATTCCTCCCTTAAACTGAATGCTAAAAACATTTAGTTTATTTCAGTTTCAATGCAAACTCTCAGCAAATCTCATAGCTTCAAGAAATTATTCAACTTGAAAGGTTTTGTCATCACATCAGCTAATTATTCTAAAGTGTTGCAATGAACTAACTTTACTATACCAACCTGAGTGAGTTCTCATAAAAAGTGAAAACGAACATCTATATGCTTATTGCGATCGTGCATTACTAGATTTTTTAGGAGTTTAATTGCAGAATTATTATCAACATCTATTTATGTAGGCAATAAGTCCATCACTTCCTCCCTTCCTATAGTAAATTCCATACTCCAATGTTCCTTTCAAATACCTCAACACTCTTTTTAGTAGCTGTAAGTGAAGCTTAGTAGGATACTCCACATACTTGATCAGTAGACTTATTGCAAATACCATGTCTGGGCGAATGGCCATGAGATACAGGA